GTGAAGCAACGATTCCCGTCGAGGTAGGAACTGGTTCGCTTCAGAGAGACTTGTACAAGGAGACAGATAACAAAGCGCTCATAAGGGCGAGCCTGGACCTTATTGAAGAACATCGCAGCAAGGCTTCGCTAAGGATAACAGCCTATCAGCAGCGAGCGAAGAAATTCTTCGATTCAAAGGTCCGGCGAAGAGACTTCCAGGTCGGCGACCTGGTGTTAAAAGAAGTTCTCCTCGGAATCAGAGAACCAAGCGCGGGAGTTTTAGGGCCGAACTGGGAAGGTCCGTATCGCATTAATAAAGTAATCAGACTAGGGACTTATCATCTCAAAAGGCTAAACGGTTCCAAGGTACCTCGGGCCTGGAATGCTGAACATCTTCGGCCATACTACCAGTAACTCCGAACTTAGCTTTCCTTGTAAATTAATTTCTGATTTTTTGTAAGTCATTTCTTTGTAAAGTTTTTATCTTGAGCGTCTGTAAATGATCTCTATGTATAATCCATTTCGTGTGAATAAGTTATGTCATCTTTGACTCAATGAATGTAAACAATTGGAAAGAACTCATGTATGATAAAGCGAACAGAAAATTGTAAAGGCAAAAATGTATTTCATTGCTATAAAGTACAGTAGGAAGGAAGACATGATTACAAGACTTAAAATCCAGCCCCTACGGGGCCAACCTACTCGTCCTAGGGTTGATCGGCTGAGGGTTTATCCGCTGCATGACCCGAACCTTCTGGTCGGAAGGTCGCCGCTTCATCATCCTCCCGTGCCATGGACATAAGTGTTTCCTGCCAGTCTGCCGGGAGGTCGGACATGTCTAAATGAGGATTCTTTGGTCGCAAGGCATAAATAGAGTCGATTGCCCATTTGGCAGCCTTCTCCTCAGCCTCCTCTGTCAAGGAAGCAACTTTCCCTTGACTCTCTTGAAGTTCAACTTCAAGAGCCTGCCTTAGCTTCTCTGAGGCCTCTCTCTCCTTTTTTGCTTGCGCGACCTGTAAGGAGATCGCTTTCAACTCCTGGTCCTTCTCCCCGGCCAGTCTGGAGAAAATGGCTATAGTCCTTTGCAGCTCCTTTATCTCTTCCCTCTGCTTCTCAAGCTGCACTTTCTAGAAATCCACCGTGTGAAGAGCCGCATTTCTTTCGTTCAAATAGGTGTTCGCCGATTCGAGAGATAGGTTTCTCTCTGCTTCGGCAGCTTCCAAGCTTCGTTTAAGCACTGCTTTCTCTTCCTTCAGGGTGGCACCTCCCTTCGCAGCTCCCAATTGTGCCTTTTCCATGGACATCTTCATGGAAAGGAGAGCCTGCGAACAAAAGAAGAAAGAGTTAGGTAATCAAAAGAAGTTAAGTCCTCGTCGAGGACAGTTCGCTCACCTTGCTCATATGCTGGATCAATGTGGACATGAGGTCCACGTCGTTGGAACTTGCGAACTGCTCGAAAGATTCCGAGAGTCCGCATTCCAGCAGGGCATACACCACCGGCTGCAGGTACTTTGGCAGATGCCCCAGCGAGTCCAATACTGATGGACCCTTCTTCGCGGCCTCAGCAGCCGTCGTGTCGTCCATAGGCGCCTTGCCCCACTTGCTCGCATCCGGCTGCGACCTCTTTGGCTGCTCGCCTTCAGATTCCGTATCTGATTCCTCAGCCTGAATCTGTTTTTTCTTTTTCTACTGGGCCACGGTTTTCGTCCTTGGCCGAGCAGGCGACGGCTGGGCGACCTTCGTGGTTTGCGTGGGTGCGTCCTCTGCCGGCTGTGGCTGGCTTGGGGTCGCGCCCTCAGCCTAGGAGGCTGTTCGTGTAGCTTCGACCACCTTTGCTTTCTTCATTCGAGGAAAGTTGATGGGCCTTCGGCGAGGTTGCTCTGGTTCCTTTAGCGGCATGGTTGCTGCTGCATGCAAGGCGAGGTTAGTGAAGGTATTTTGTTCCATGACCAAGAAAAGAGTCAGTTAAGGAAACTTACATTGTGGGGGTTCTAACGACACGCTGGCGTTAAAGAAACCGTACTTCCGCAAATTCGCGGTTGTCACAAGTGTCCTCGCGTCGCGCTTGTCTTCAGGAAGGGAGCCGAACTGCAAGATTCTTCTTCTGTTATGGAGCAGCCCTAGCTCAGTTGTCTTGTTAACTGTCCAGAAAGAGAAATTAGGTCGTTAGAGCGAACACGCTTCGAGCTCAATAAGTTTGCCAAAAAAAAAAAAAAAAAAAAAAACAGAAATACAAACAAAGAGAAAGAAGCCTACTCGGATCCTGGAAGCGGCAATGGCCATCGTAACGAAAGAAGAAAAACTTCGTTTCGTAGGCCCCCGCGTTGCTGGGATAACTGTGTATCCCGTCGGCAATGGTAGGTCGCCTGGATAAGTAATACGAATCCTTGTCCTTGCTTTTCTTCAAATAATACGAGCAGCCGAGTTTCAAGGCTGTCAGTTCGCCCAATCCGTTCTCCCGGCACGCGATGTGCATTGCAACAGCAATGACGTACGTGTTCGGGGTCAGCTGCATCAGTGCGACCCCAAAGTGGTCCAAGAACAACCTGATGAAAGGGTGTAGGGGGATAAGTCCTCCACCCTTGATAATCTCCTCGGAGATCGCGGCCAAGCCTTTTGAAGGGTATCGCGACGAGTGCGTCAGGTCGTGGAATACGTCCACTTCGATGCCGAATTGGCTTATTACCCTCTCAAGCTCTTCCTCGGTGAGTACCGAGAAAACCTCAAGAGGGATGCTAGGAGCACCATGCGGGGACGAGCTGGTTCCCTGCTCAGGTCTGGTATCAGAGTGGTCCATTTTGCCAATTTGCAAAAGCGACAAGCAGAAGGATTATTCGGTCTCCGTAAGTTATATTGTACGATGACATGGGGGGAAATACGTTCCCTCAAATCCTAAATAAAAACCCTAGCAACATGGTTTGAGCCGCCGTTCGTGGCTCGAACCAGACACAGACTAGTCTCCGATGGGTTACCAAAGGACCAACACTATTAACTCATGGAAAAAATGAGATGATGACCAGAAAACTCTTACCTCTTGGAGTACGATGACGGTGTCTGCTTCAGATGCTGGAAAAATGCAAGTCTGGAAGACAAAGGTTCTTGGCCTACGAAAATCTTTTGTTCTCTGTGAAAAAGGCTTTGGTAACATTGCCTGAGCGCGATTTGTGGGTTTTATAGTGCATGGATCGGTGTTTGTATTTCCCGGAATTGAAACGACATTCGAGCGGTAAAGGTTTCTTACTGTAGATCTTGGCCATGTGTCACTCATCAGCGAGGAAGAGTGAGCGATACGACTGGATGAAGTCAAACTTACACCCCTCCAGTTGAAAAGCTTAAACAACAGCCATATCTCTCTCAGAGCATTAATTGCGTCTCAAATCTTCATTTAATGCTCTGGTAAGGTGCACCGTTCCAACACATGTTGCATTTAATGCCCTGATAAAGCGCACTGTTTCAGCATGCAAGACATTAAATGTGATTAGCTGGCATTCACCACGTAAGGGGTACACCTGTCAGCGCAGGAATGGCTTCATTAAATGCCTTCCCGTTATCAGAATAAACGGGTGACATCATGCAAAACCAGGTCGCTCGTCCTTGGGCATGCGAGGTCGCGCTAGTACAAATGCCACTCCGACTTATTTTTGAACAGATTAAAGTTTTTAGGAATCATCTAACCGTGGCACGACCTGTAGTTTCCAAGGTTCAATCCTCAAACCTTAAAAACTAGGGGGCTTCTGTTACTCCTAAAAATATAAGGGCTGACGTCAGGACCCTTTAGCCCGCAAAAGTCAGACCGTTGGGACAGGCACCATCTACGTCTGTTAGGGTAGTGGGCGCGCGTCAGGCTAGTCAGGAGGCTGTGGCACTCCCACGTGCCCAATCCCTGCTCTAAATCGCGCAAATAACTCTGGAAGGTAGGCAATGTGACATACAGAAGGATTTGCACGGATAATCCCACAAACTCGCAGATTTAGTGATGATTGCCTCAAGGCATCTGACTATAAATTAGGAATTCATCTCTCATTAAAGGGGTTTGCACCTTTTTCACTCGATTAATTACTCTTTCTCTCTTTTCTCAGCAAACAATATCTTGTAATATCATTGTAACGTCAGTCAGCTAATAGTGACCTGACTCCTATCATCAATATAAGCATCAGTGGATATAGGATTTGCTACCTTAGCATCCGAATTACTTTAAAAATTGTCTTTATTGCATTTATTATCCTTCATCCATTAATTTTACGTGTGATTTCGGGGCCCCCTGCACCATTTTACACGTGCGTTTCGTTGGTGCAAAATCCAGCATCAACAATATCTAATGACTTTTTTTTTGTTTTTTGAGTAACTGATTTCCGAATCAACTTTTGTATGCTTCAACTAATTCGCAAGATTCATTAAGCATAAAGCGTAAAGATTAAAGACTTCGATATAGTAGAAATGTCGAAAATTGTGCTAACTTCAAATAAGCCGTGCAGGACTTTTACTCTCTCCAAACGGCATTGATTTTAGCTAATTTGGTTTCGTACACTCCAGACCAGTACTCAATAGTCAATATCATATACAGTCCAATCCGATTTTTCGTTATCTGATGTGCGTTTGACTGTATGAGAGAGACTGAGAAATTATTTTATTTCATGTTTTTTGTTATCTGATTAGATTGGTAAATACTTTCGCCTAAAATTCATAACATTTTAATGACTTTTGGTAACAGTTTTCAGATCTGATATGTTATCTTACAAGTCATATTTTTACAAGAAAATTCTTTTAACATTAGAAATTTAGCTATGGTTCTGAAGGTGCCTAAATACTCATTCCAAAGATATAAGTAAATAAAAGGCCTGCAATAAATTTATCATTTATGTTTTTAATGTTATAATTAAATTGTTGAATCATCTACTACACTTTGTCAATCCAACTGTCCATCTATTTGAACATTTTATAATTTTCTTTATTCTTCCTGCTTTCCTCAAACATTGAACAAAAATTTTATATCTGGGTTTGGAGAGTAGTGTACCTGAATGAAGGAAATGAAACCTGCGTGGCTTTTGGGAAAGACATTACGATCAAAGAAAAGAAAAGAAAAGTCTACAAGTAAGAATTAATTCAGCTTGATCACACCCCAAAGTCTAATATCAAACTTCCTCTGGGTTTGACAATTAACTGAATCAAAGTCTAATCAAACTCTTAACAAATGAACTCGGGTAGTCTTATTAAAGCTGAATGCTTTTCCCAGCTATTTTTGGACCAATATTGCAAGTTTTAGCACTCCCTTCACCAGAATTAAAGGAGTTAATTCGGTAGATCTCCGAATGTTTTCTGTATCTGCAGGAACACCTCACCAGAAGGTTTTTAAGTATTTTCCCTACATCAATATTCGAGAGGAAGAATATTCAATATATCATCACTATTTATATAGACTTGAATAAAAATTTCCCGTAAAATAGATTCTGAGATTCTGGAAAAAAAATAAAAAAGTACTATTGTTTTAAATTTTTTGTTAAAAGACCCTTCAGAAAGAACTCGGAGAAAAATGCTCACAACTTAAAGGAAAATAATAGTGTTCATTCCAAATTTTATTCTGATATATATATGAATTTATTATTTACTTAGGAAATCATATATGAAATAACAAATCTTAACATAGAAGCGCAGCAAAAAGTCATAGATGTATCTCCGGAACAACAAAAAAGGCAATGAAGATTATATTTGGGGGAGAGAATACAGAAAGAATACCTCTGAACATCGTCAGAACCAAAATGCTGAGCCTCTACTTCGCCAATTCCAATTCATCATCTTCCCCATTGTGTACGGCATAAAAAAAATCAAACTCAATAAACAATTTTAACATTAATAGGAAGTTAGTAAGAAAATAGAATGAATCTTGAGAAAACCAATTCAGCCTTTTTCCACAAACATAACCGTTCGTGAAAATTGCTATCTTCGGTTTCTTGTTGCCAAAAGTGGATGCTAACATTTTAAAGCAAGAGAAAACTTGTGTTTTACCTTAAGAGGGTACACAACAGTGTCATTTCGGTTGCAGGTGAAAAGAGAATAATAACAAACAAATCCAGACTACACAATTTGTCATCGCCGTCAAACAATTTTTGACGAGATGATAAAGAAGTCGTAAAAACCAAACAAGTAAAAGCAAATGATATTATGGTAGTGAATATATATATATATATATATATATATATATAAAAGGTAGTATAGCTATTCTATTCAATATAAATTTCTCAATAACCAAGCAAAATGAATTCTTAAAAAGATTGACATTACTTTATTTACTTTGAGGTGATATAAAGGAAAAGGAAACTAAGCATCTTGTTTACCATGAGCTGGATTCTCCACCATAGAAACTTGAACCTTTCAATCTCTTGGACTCAGGTTTCTCTTCCCTTGTCATTAACTGTAAGTTCGGACACCAAACTCCACACTTCTTCACGGGGTAAAAATCTACTCTTCCAGGAATTAAATCCTCAACATAAAATCGGATGGTCATTTCACAATATTTTTTATGGAAAATATTTTGCCAAAGTGACTTGGACAACTCGGTAGCAGGACCATATCCCAGGAATACATGATCTGAGTCCACATAGTCAGGTCTAGTGCCACAATTCCAAAACCTTAAACTGACATGGAAGGATTCCGTTTCACCATCTTTACTTGTGAGCATACATTCACAGCCAACTTCCAGACCTTGGCTTTTATTATGGAAGTTTCGAAACTCCACAACAACGCCGAAAAAAAGAGCACCGGTGTCATCAAAGTAAGGACTTTTTGGTTGCTCCAAGGTTATAATAGATCCTACACTTTGACAGATAAGCCACCCCGGAATTTCACTTCCAGGGAAACAGATACAACCACTATCTGAAGGAGGTGCCTGAATTTAAAAAAAAAAGAAAAAAAAATTAAAAATGTAATCAGCATCATATGAAATAAGAAAGAGCGAGGGAGACCTTTCAGTCTTTCACAACCATAAATACCTTTTCCCGAGTAAAGCGTCTTTTCAGTAAAATATCTTCAATAGTTTTACTGCAAGCATTTTGATCCAGTTTGAAACAATTGCCGAAGTTGAAACTAACGCATTGAGGAAAACGTCTGCCGAATGGAGATGACAAAATTGTTAATCCTCTCAATGCTGTGCAATTGTGTGCATTTATAATTGCTAATTTACTTGGAAGCTTGGGTAGGATTTGAAGCCTCTCGCAATAGCTTAAGTCAAGATAAGATAATTTTGACAGCTCCACAATGCTTTCTGGAATGCTCTGAAAGAAGTTTCTGCCAAGAAGTAAACGTTTTAGTGAGGATAACTGACCAAGATTATCCAGCAACTCCTTAATACAACAGTTGGTCAAATCTAGTTCTTCTAGACAGCGCAAATTTAGAATGGATGTTGGTACTTCTCTTGTAGCGACCCTCTCTGCTCTGAGCACCGTCAAAGATTCTAAATTTCCTAATTCATCAGGTAATCCGTGAAGTTTTAAACACCCTGAGAGATTGAGATGTTTCAGAGATTTCAACTTGCAGATGTCGCTTGGGAGCCTCTCAAGCATCGAGCAATCTTTAAGATTCAGTACAACTAGTCCGGATAAATTCTTTATTGACAACGGTAACTCCTCTATTGCAGTTTCATCTAAATATAACCATTTTATATTCCATGAGATCTGTGGAAACTTCTTAAGATTTGAGCAGCCGGAAAAGATAACTTTTATAAGAGATTTTAGACTAATGCCTGTTGGGAGACTACTAAGGCTTTTACAGTGCTTTAGATTTAAGATAAGAAACTTATAATTGAGACCATGAATAGATGAGGAAATCTCATATAAACTTGTACAACCTTGTAGAATCAAATTTTTAAGATTTGGGGCCAGTGAGAGATCTTGGACCTTCAGATATTTAGAGTAACTAAGATCAATATGCTTGAGATTATGAAGCTGTAAGTAAGAAAGAAATAATTAGAAGCACAAATTAGTATCTTTGATGTTGACAACTAACAAAAGAAAGATTAACATATTATAAGTGTCAACAAATTACCTGCACACCAGACCAAAGTTGTTCAATATTGCTATAAGGCATGTCAAGTGCAACAAGGTACCTTGGCCAAAAATTTGACTGCAATGATTTCAACGGACATCCATGCCAACCGATGTATCTTAGCTCAGTGGAAATAGAATTGAGCCCTTGGGAAAGATGCACCTTATTGATATTATTCTCTTCATACTGTGAGTTATGTAGTTTAAAAAATCTGAGTTGATGCATTCTTCGTAGGGCATTAGGTGGTAAGTATATAATCTCTTCTCGTTTAGACATGTCTAAACATATGCCTTCGATTGCATAAGAAATCTGATGACCAAAGAAAGATGATAATCAGCTATAAACTATTAAGAACTTATTAAACAGTTTGTGGTCATATATATATATATAATGCAGGTAGGCATTACCTTATTTTTTTCCAATACATTATGGATATCTTTATGATACCATAAACGACTGCGTTTACCAGGGTCTTTCGTGGATTCTTGTCGAACAATTTCCCATCCCATTTCTTGAAGTAAATCATGCATTGTTATCTTGTTATCTTCTGATATGATTATAAGACACTTGTCAATGAGAACACTTAGTCCTATATCAGCCTCGAAGTCACAAGCATCCAAGAAGTCTATCACAAAATCTTTATTCTCCCATTTAAGGAAACATGCAATATCTAAAAATATATTTTGCTGATCATCATTTAGTCCATCATAACTTATTTTTAGTATCTTGTGAATATCCTCGTGAGGAATTATTTTTAATTTATTTATTGCATTTTCCCAAAATTGTTTTGGTTTGCCAAGTAAATAGCAACCTAACACTTTAAGAGCTAATGGAACACCTTTAGCATATTCTATTACCCTGTTTGACAAGTCACCATAATCTAAGCTTGGACGATTTTGTCGAAATGCATACCAGCTGAAAAGTTGAAGGGCTTCATTATGAGATAACCCCTCCATCTTGTATACATTATTGTCATCCACTCCACAATTGTAAAGCACTTGTTTGTCTGTTGTTGTTATAATGATTCGACTTTTAGGAGCCAAGCAATTGATATCTTCGATTAAATATTCTACTTCGCTTAAACTCGTCACATCATCAAAAACAATAAGAACTTTTTTTCGACCAAGCCTTTTTTTTGTGAAGCTAGAATTCATAACGAAATCAGATTGCCTTAATATCGTAGAAAGAAGTTCTTGTCGGATTTGACTTAGCCCATTAGGACTCAATGATTCTTCCCAAACATTTCGAGCAAAATAAGAACCATCAAAGTGACACCTTATTTTGTTGAATACACTAATTGCGATAGTTGTCTTGCCTATACCACGCATTCCCCAAATTCCTACAACGAGAACCTTTCTCAACCCAATTCTCATCAAATCTTCAATTTTGAGAATGATTGGTTCTATTCCTACCAAGTTCTTGTTAACACATGGGGCCATGATATTTAATGTCTCCAAAATATCCTTACATACTTTCTGTGCAAGCGGATAATCATGCCTACCAATAACAAAAAAGAAGGTTGATAACTGTAACAAAATCATGAATAGATGAAAAAAACAAAAGTCCAATACTAGCTAATTTCAATTGACCAATGGAACATTGATCAAATAATTGTATCTTTCATTTTATGAGAGGAAAAACTTAGCCAACACGTCTGAGATATTCATGCACCTATTTAATAACAAACATACATAGATATATATTAAAAATTCCAGAAAACTTTAGAAATATCACATCAGCCATACCACCTCCCAATGAATTTATGTCACCTCTAATTTTTCTCTCTCATAAATTTATATCATGAATGTGATTGGTAGTTAGTAATTTAAAATGTTATGTGGCAATAATGTATAATTAGTTGGTGGTTATACGCGTGAAGTTGTGATCAAGAATAGTTATGAATCTAATAAGTAAATCATCAGTGAAAAGGCTTAGTTCAAAATTAACTAAATTCATTAGATGGGATTTGATCCTTGACTCTGACTATCCTTTATTTAAAAAAAAAAAATACTCCATAACTCAAAGCTGAAAACATTATAAAATGCATGATACTTGATCAGATTGTCAATTAATGACTTTCAGTAATCAGAGATCTGAGAAATATAAAATATTTTGGGACGGTAAGTTAGTAATTAGCCATTTAATCCGTGAATTTTAATCAAGTGCAATATATATCGAATCTCTGTGAAGTACTTGATATATAATATAAAAATTAAAATCAGGTGAAACTAAATAGTACTAAATTAAAGAGAAGAAAACTTACGGTTCTTCTTGTGATGTCCAGCCAGATAGATTAGCTGCTTCTGTCAAAGCATTCCTCCATTTCTGCACCTTATCTTTCAATTGTTCTTCTGTGATTTGAAGCTTCTTTAACTTCTCCTTGTTAAAGCTTTCTACAAGCTTAGCCAATCCATCCCCAAAAGTTCCCGTTTGATTCCTCACATGCGATGGATCTATGTGATAGAAAACGGGTATTACCACCTCTTTTTGCGTTTTCTTGCACTCCAATATCTTCACAAGTTCTTCAAGACACCATCTTGAAGAGGCATAACCTTCTGAAAAAATAATAACTGAAATCTTTGATTCTTCAATTGCATTCTCGAGAGATGGCGAAATGTTCTCTCCTCTGTTAAGCTCATAATCAATGAAAACATTTATACCAAAACTGTTCAAAACTCCATGTAAAGTGCTGGTAAATGTGCTGCGAGTGTCTTCGCCACGGAAACTAAGAAATACATCATACTTCTTTTCTCCAACAGTGATGGATGAAGAAGAAGAAGCCATCCTACTTCATATATAGACTATTATAAATTAGCCAAACTTTGTTTTCTCCTATTTCTCTTCTTCTATGTTTTTCCCCTTTCTTGCTACCTCTACAACTAATGAAAACGTCAGACTGCTTCAATACTAGAGAAATAGTGGAAGAAGAAGATTAGAACGAAGCCTTCTCAAGAAAAATAAAAGTAGAAAAACATATCAACAGGAGGCGTATGATTGCTATCGGATAAGCAACTTCCTTGAACCTTCTACGTATTTGCTCCCCACCTAACTTTCTTAATTTCAGCTCTACTTAATTTGGCTGCAATATAAGGAGTTTTTTCTGACTCTGCCAACAACCTATCTCTTTGAAAAATAAGAAACAAGAGGACAAACCAAACCAAACCAAACCAAACCAAACCAAACCAAATATAAATTGTTTTAATTTTTTATTATAAATATAAAAGATTAAATCAATTTACAAAAATAAATTAATTTAAGCAATTAGTAATATATAAATCTGCTTATTAGGAGTAACATTCCACCAGATAGACTCTTGGACTCCAAACTTGCTTGCTGGTTGCTGCCTCATGCATAGAAATGGTTTATCCACCTTGCCAGTCCTTGGGGTGGCCTGGTTATCCAAACCAAAACCAACAAAGCTAACAGAAGAGGAGCCCAACTCATTAGAAACATTTAAATCATCATCCCTTCAGCTAAGCCTAACATTAAATAGCCCACTAGCCTCAACATCTGGCCTATTCCCACTAACCGTCCCCAGCCCAGCATTACCAAGAGAAACGAACCCACCCCGAATCTAGACCTCTCACCTTGTCTGCCCTGCCTTGACCCTCGTCCATCGCAAAAACCGCAGCACCGGAGACCATATCCTGCTCACACCCTCCAATCTCACCGAACTTCCTCACTGGCGGCTATGAGAGCGGTCACGACCGCTTTACTCATTCGATGGCCTAAACACTTGTCCCTTAGCCGAGCTGTTTCCAGGAGTCCCCTTATTTTCCGACTCTGTCGGAATCAGAACAATGCGGCAATTGTTTCTAATTATATCGGCCGCGCAGTCCTTTGCAATCACCCCATCTTCCTTGACAACTCTGATGAGAGATGAATGCCCCTCCCACACTAGAATTCCTATCAACAGTACCCACAAGAGGCTCATCACCAAGGCTACCATCATGAAGAACAAGGCCACTGCCCTCCTTCACTTCCATCTTGTCATCACCCTCCAAGAGCGCAGATCGGTTACCTGAGCCTCCGCCAAATTTCCTCACCCTATGTAAAAACTGAACCTTGTTCCCCGATCCATCCCAAATCTCCTTACCTAGTTTCATAAGCAAAGGGACCAGGGGAGAAAACCTGCCCCATCTCTAAAGAAAAGCACTGGCACTTCGACCAAGAGAAACCACTGACGGTGGCGCTGATGGAGGCAGATAAGCCGTAGAGAAACTTCTCTTTGTATCAGTAACTTTCTCAGGGCTCTTAATTTTTCATATATATATAAGGGGTTTTTTCTTTGACTCTTTGCTGACAACCTGACTCTTTGAAAAATAAGAAATAAGAGGACAAATCAAACCAAACCAAACCAAATATAAATTGTTTTAATTTTTTATTATAAATATAAAAGATAATAAATCAATTTATTAAAAATAAATTAATTTCAGCAATTAGTAATATAAATATTATATAAATTATTAACAACAAAATTAGAACATGTTACATGTTATGCAAGTAATTAATTTCATCTCCGTAGTAACAAAAAATAATGAACTTGTAGTTGCTCATATAAGAAATTATTCTTCAGTGATCAAATATTAGGTCGTCAAATTAAATTTCAACTTTAATTGGAATACATGCACTGAAACTATGTGTTTTATATTTATCGACATTATTTGCATTTTAAAAAAAATAAATAAATTGGATGTAACATAGGAAAAACAAACTATTTACAGGATTACAGATTTTCTAGTTGATAATGGAAGACCCAAAATCAGAGTAATATGACAAAGAGCGATTAGTCATATGACCAAAAATTATCTAAATTGTTTTAGCTTCTTTACAACAAAGAAAAAGTTAATAATAGATTGACAAAGTCTTTTGGCATAGGCAAGAAAAATAAAATAAAATAAAATTGGGGGCACATTTCAAAACCACAATAAACCGGAAAAAGGCGAAAATTCATATATATGTTGAACTATTTTTTACTGTTATACATAATTAGCTGAAGTTAATTTGCAGTTAACAAAATTTATTATGACATTAAAGTTTCAAATGAATCAGTCTTCAAATCTGCTAAGCTACTACCTTGAAATAAAATAAAAAGACTGTTATTTTTTACTTTTCTCTTGATAACAAGATTATCATTTTCAATAATACTATTTATTACCAAATGAACTTGGATCACAGCGTTACAGCCAAAAGCATACAGGTTTTTTACGGGGAAACTATGTGAATGTTAAAAAATGTTCTAAATTAATTTCTCTATCTTAGTCTTCAATTAATTTTTAATATTTCACTTCCCAAAAGATTCTTCGCCACGTCGAATCCAAACATAATAATCCCTCATTTAGTTTATGGTATGCATTTGATCTAGCCTCTCTCTCAACTTTGGAGTTAAGGTGTCTTTAGTTTATCATTTTTACTTGAGTAAACGACATGTTCCCACCCAAGGTTTGACGAAATCTCAAGTTAGTACCACTGGTTTCATTTATTCTAGATTCCCACCCTTAAAGTAACAGTGTTATGAATTTTTAGGGTTTAGAGGGTACAATTACCATAATGCCCTTAACCCTAAATTAATTAAAATTATGTTTTAACCCCTAAAATAGTAGAATTACAAAACTTACCATTTTATTTTCAAATTATATCAAAAACACCCTCGGTCACTATACACCCTCACCGGAAACAGCCCGATCTGGGCTGTTTCCGACGACGTCGAACCCCCTGGTCACCTCCATCACCTTCCCCGTAGTCCGTCGTCCAAAACCCCTCTAGTTCCCGACTCATTTGCCCCTCCAATCGCCGCACTGTTAGCTTAGGGTTTCGGTGTTCTTCACCGGATTTCGGTCGATTCCGGTGGTGAAAATCCAATTGGACACCACCAATGCAACCACCGTCCCAAATCTATAAAACCCCTATGTCTCTACAACCGTTTCGTCGTCATTCGCCGGCCGAGAGTTCGTGTTCATCGACCGTTTTCGTTACCGTGGCCAGATCGGCAAGTGATGAGTGTGGATGGTATGGTTTTTGAGAGGGGAGGATGGGGGTTCAAATGGTGGTGACTAGGGTGATTTGGGTGGAAGAATCGCCGAAAAAGAGCGAAAAACGTCGGGAACGACGGTTGCTAACGCGCCGGAGGACTGTTAGAGGCGGTGGTCTGCTAACGTCGCCGCCCATGTAAAATGACCAATTTACCCCTTTACCGTTACATCAAACTTTTTCCCTCACTTTAAGGGTGGGAATTTGGAATAAATGAAACCAGTGGTACTACTTGGGATTTCGTCAAACCTTGGGTGGATGTCGTTTACTCTTTTACTTATATAAAGTTCTTCATTTGGATTCTTCTGATCATTGATACTTCTTATGACCTATTACTGGTCTGGGCTTCTGGATGCCCGTTACCATATCTGCATGGCATGGCCCTTCTTGTTACCCCAACTAGACAATACTATATTCCATTTAATATTTTTGGGCTGATATAAGGAATATGATTCCGCTTTTTTTAAGCCCTTACACCTTCGGCCCTGGTAGAGCTTTACACAAATTGGAAATTCAACTACGTAGGTCATCATTTGTGCTTAAATCACATAAAGTCTAATGAATTTTTAAGTTAATCGAATAAATTATCACAATTTTTTTTTTTTTTAATTTCACGAGTATGCTCGCAAGTAATTATTTAAATACTATACCAATAAAACACTATAAAGAAACATGTTGACTCATAAACTTTAAAATAAATAAGTTAAATATGATTCACTCACCATATACAAGTTATTGTTGAATGTGAATCTTCCTATTCTACTGGTTCAACCATGTAGTTCTTGTTATAGTTCCTTCGAATATGCTGGCAATTTCTGATTTCACATTATATAGCACATAAATCCACTATCTCCTTGGTTTTATTTTGTATTTCAACTCTAATTTCTTTCAAAAACATTATTAATACCATATACATGAACCACCAATTTTTCAGAAACATTTTCACTTAGCAAATTCTTTCACAGTTAAATATTGGAGGGATGCTGCTCTTGTTTCGGATGTATAAATATGGCTTGCAGATGAGCAGAGTTTAATTAACTAGATCTATTGATGCTTTTCTAATGTTTATATATATATATATATATATATAAGTCAATAAGAATTTTTTCTAAATGAACCTACATCTGAAGCACAGCAAGTATATGCATGAAAATCTGTCAACAAAAGTTCAAGTTCTTTCATTAAAGGAAAATGCTTGCTACTGAATTAACGGACTAGAAACCCACTTAATTCATTAAAAGAAGTCCAGAACTTAGCCTCACAGGCCAAAATCTTAAAAAATTAAACCATTATCATATCAAACATCATCTCGGTTTTGTATCAAATGAAGCAAGTTCATCCAACTCTTATCAACTGGATTTGCGTAGTCGAATAAAAGCTAAAGATTTCTTTCCACGCTACATATCTTTGGACCAACATTGCAGTTTAGCACTCAGACATCACAGAACATTAAAGCAAAGAAAACCAGTATCTTCTTGACATAATCTTTGCTTTACTGGGATATCTGCTTCACATATATCTGTAACTTTCCTGCATCAAGTTCCAAAATTTTAAATTAGAAAAAAGTGTATATTCATAATCCACTCTAGTTCCAAAACCTGCATTCCCATTGATTTGTGGTCATCTTTTAATGAAAATCATAATAAAATTAAAATCTCTACACATAATAATTTAACCCAAAAAAGATGAGGGAACAATAATGTAATTTTTATACGCAATTTTTATACATCTAAGTCAAAATTCAATATGTCATCAGTACATAGACAAGACTTAAACAAACATTTCATATAGAATAGATTATGCTAAATAACAGAAACCTTCAACAAAATTTTTGTTGAACACCTTTTCTTTTTCTAATTTTTTTTTCAAGAATTTAAATAATAAACTTGCTAAAGCTCACAAATTTCGAACAAATTAGGAGCAATAATAGCATTCAATTCAAATTTTATTTAACATACGAAAGATCTTGATTATGGAATCAAAGAAAGATATCGATCTGAAAAGATAAATATGTTATAGATAATTTGATTAGATCTGACAAGAGTACAAACAAGAAGCAAAGTAAAGGATTTATTGACCTGAGCAGAGCCCT